TATATCAACTCTCGCATACCGAAGTACGTATGTGCAACTATGCTACGGGTCTTCATGTACACTGCACAATCGGCGGCTCGGTGTGCTGAAGCTAAGGATTAGAAGAAACTAGTAGAGAGGCATAGGTGTAATAAGAATGTCGATAATACGATGATTATGGATAACTCTAACTAGGGATTGAGAATTATACTCCTTACCCTGCTAATTACAACGCTGCTAAATTGAGAGGCCGGCTAAATATACCTCTCAGGAAGAGAACACAGGCCGGTGCATACTGCGTATAGGCAATGCAAGGCACGAGTACTCCGTAAGCTGTGCGGCATCCTCAATAGTCACTTCCTAGCTATCAGTCCAATTAGGAGCGTTCCTCTCTTCCTTTTTGCTCACCGCGGCATTGTTTATTTGTTCATTTTCTTTTCCAATGAGTTTTTCTTTTCTTCCTTTTTCCCTCCTTTCTTCTAGCCTTGTAACTAAGGAATAAGATAGCAGCATTATCAAGCAATCGGTTCATTTTAATCCTTCTTATAGTTAACTAGGTTAGTTAACGAGCTTTTACAGCTTACGTAAGAATCCCTCTCACGCACGACGCTAACTTCACAAAGTGATCCTATTTTCCTCTGCTCAAGAAATGACATCTCTATCAGAACATGAGCGCAATGTGGTTGAGAGCCATGCATTGGGTGAATCTCTCAATCATTTACTAGAGCCACTTCAGGATGTAGAGCGTTCATATTCCCTGGTCAATTCTCTTGGCGTCGCCGACGATAGGCCTGACCAAGATTGCCAGAAAGCAGTATCGCTACTCCTTTCTGCTTTGATAAACACAGAAGCAGCTCTATTGCTTCAGTCAAGGTTCAGCAGTCGCGATATAGCTTCTGAACTTTTCTCTCTCTCCCTGCGTGTCCGAAAAGGCAGCTTCTGCTACAACGACTATCGCCCGCTTGTGAAGCTTATCATCCAAAGGAATCCAAATGCATCCGACTACGACATCTGGAGCGCTGTTCTCGATCTCATCGGCACTAATTTCAAGGACTACCCCTTCACCGCGCCCTGTCATTTCCCTTCAACAAACGCCCCTCTATACGCAACACTAGTAGTTTCGCGAACTCAACGGAATACCGAAAGTATGTGGATACCGTACTCAAAGAAGAGCTCGGCAATTTCCACGCGGACGCCCACCAAATTTTTTGAAACCTATTTTGGGAATATCACAGGACTCGATTCGACAGCACAGGCTGTCTTGGATAAATGCAAGGAGGGAGATAATCCATTGTATAATGAGGAGAGGGGTTGGCAGGACTGGCCAGCGACAGCGGTGGAAAAGGAAGTGCTGAAATGGCTGTCACAGGTTATCAAAAGTCTTGTGCAGTTTGCAGAGGCATATGATGCAACTCAAAGAATCAATCGGAGGCCTCTGGCGCGACCTTTTCAGCCTTTGGAGGGATCTATCACAAAGCGAAAGCTTGATATCGGTTTTGTTGATGATATAAATGCCACTGAATCCTCCAGATGTCATTGGTCTCAGATTCTGGTGCCAGGGGAGCTGAAGAATGATAAGAAATATGACAGAGCATCAAGCGCGTGGCTTGATCTAGGAAGGTATGCTAGGGAGGTTCTAACTGCCCAGGATTCCCGGCGTTTTATTCTTGGATTCACTCTCTGTGGGCCGTCCCTGCGGCTGTGGGTGTTTGACCGCCTTGGAGGGATAGCATCAGAGAGCTTTGATATCAACAAAAAAGGCCTCCAGTTTGTCTCTATTGTCCTCGGGTTCCTTCTGATGAACCAGGAGCAGCTTGGATTCGACCCTACCATCGTCACCCATGGAACAAAGCGCTATATCACAATAGAGAAGGATGGCGGGGTGGAACGGTTGGTCATCGATGAGGTCATTGGGCGAGCGCGCTGTGTCGCCGGCCGGGCCACCACATGCTGGAAGGTACATCGCGAGGACGAGCCGCAAACTCCGCTTGTGGTCAAGGACTCGTGGCAATATCCAGAGCGCGATGAAGAAGGGAAGCTTTTATATGAAGCAACAGCGCAAGGGGTCACCCATGTCGCACGGTACTATCATCATGAGACCGTCCGCGTCGATGGTAAAGATGATGATGTCTTGGGTATTCGAAGTGGCCTAGTCATCCCAACAGGCTGAAGAAAAGCCTGTTCAAAAGGCTACTTCGAGCCGGAGCAAGTCTCGCCAATCCCGTAACTATTTCAGGTCGTGTTTTCAAGGCAGAAACGGTCCTCGGACTTTGTGGACACGTTGATTCCCTCCACCACCCAGTAAACGCGCACTCTCAAGCTCTCCAGCGAAGCTCCCCCTGCCTGACGAAAAGCTGCAGAATCGGGTGCACCGTCGTGTTGTTGTCCAGGACTATGGGTAACCTATCTTTGAGAGTAGCTCAAGGGTCGCATTGCTTGTTGGGCTGCAAGGCTGTATCAAAGGCTACATGTCTCTTTCTTTACCGCAAAAGACTGGTCTAATTCAAAGTGATATCTCCCCCAGAAATCTACTTGTGAATGAAGACAAGGCTAACCCTTCCTTCCGGGCATTCCTGATTGACCTTGACCTTGCAATAAGGGTAAATCGGGATGGCTTCTCCGGGGCCCGTGTAAAAACAGGCACAAGGCCATTCATGGCGATCGGCGCGTTGTTTGGTGAAAGGCATTCCTTCATGCACGACCTTGAATCTTTTTTCTGGGTGCTCTTCTGGATATGCATTCATTATGAAGGCCCTGGGAGGGCAAGAACCGTCAAGCGCTTTGAGAAATGGAACTACATGGATACAGATGATCTAGCTGATACAAAAAAAGGGGTGATAACTATTGAAAGAGATTTTCTCAGGACTACGGAGGATAATTTTACTACCTTTTATCAGCCTTTGACCCGTAGTGTCAACAGGTTACGCCGGCTTGTTTTCCCTGATGGTGATCGGTGGCAGGAGTTGAATCCCGGTCTACCAATGGCCATGATCAAAGAGCTGCAACGTCCGCAGGAAGAGCAGGATGTCGTAGGGGAGCAGTGATATTCCTGAATGATTGTTCTGAAATGTATACAAGCCAAAATTCCACATTAGAGGGATTCTGCATCGCCAAGTCCGTAAGTGTCGTCGCCTTTGTAATGTGGTATAATGGCCAATTAGTGGCAGCATCGAGCTGCCCACTACTGAGTACCCTGGTATCATTGTATTGAGTTAATTGAAAGCAGCTGTTTTGTAATTAACTATTATTAGTATTAATAGCCACACAGTAGTTAGGTATTCTCAGCAGTGAGAAGCAATAATGTTCATCCTTCTCTTTAAAAATGAATTGGATATTATTATTAAGATGAATAGTATAGTATTAATATAGTAATGATGATAATGGATGATAATAGACTATATCAATCTTATTAAATATAAGATAAGATAGAATGATTTTTCAGGTGCGAACTCGGGTCTTTCAACACGAGGGCATGTCGAGATTGAGAGCATTGTACATGTACATACATGAGTATGTGGAGGAGAGCTGAAACTAAAATAAGAAGAACGCTGTCTATTTTGTAAGAAACACATTAACTACCTCAAATGGATGAGCCGAGTGGCACCGGCCCATGAACAGTTCTTTCTATATGATATACCTGCCCGATTAAATAAAATAACATAGTGCATCTTCAATATCCGCCTACTCCTGTGCTTTATTCTTTTTCTTCACCTGGAAAGAAAGCTGGAAAAGACAGGCAATTGGGCTCCAGGGCCATCTCATCACCATTTACTGGCGAGGTAGTAGTTGTCACTGGCGCCGCTGAAGGTCTGGGACAGGAGGCCGTCGTTGCTTTTGTTGCCGCGGGCGCTGAGCGCATTGCCATAGTGGACAGTTCCAGTATTTCGGATACTCATGCAAGGGCCTCACAAGTTGCCAGAGAGGCTCGAAGGCCAGGACTGGAAATACTATCCGTGCAGTTTGAAGTTGGAAATGCTGCAAGCGTCGATGCTGGAGTTACTGCGATTCATTCGAGATGGGGGCATGCGGATATTCTCATCAATACGCCGTGCCGGGCTTCCTCGCTTGACCGGCAGCGACAACCTTTGGGCGCGGGCGACATTGACAACTGGTGGAAGTCATGGGAGGTCAGTGTCAAAGATGCATTTGTGGTTGCTCATGCATTGCTGCCGCTCCTATTGAAAGGGGGTGAGAAGACAATAGTCAACATCGGCTCAACTAGCTCCTCGTCACTCAAATCCACATCTCATGCACAAGATTTGTCTGGATTGGCAATGACGCGCCTGTCTGAGGGACTCATGGCGGTTGACGCAGAAATCTCGCAGAGATCCAAGCAGATGATTGATTTCCAAAAGGGGAACCAATCACTGATTGGCCCGATGCGTCAGGGACATGGGATCCCTGCAAGGCTTATTCCCACCTCCTGGGGCCACCGGCGAAGAACCTGCTCCCCATGGCTCCAGCTGCTGGATACATACTCATGCGGAGAACAGTCGTGGCTGCTTCCAGCCAACATGTCAACCAGCTCATAATCCCCGTGCAATGGTTGCCATTCCTGTATGGCACGGCCCCGCGCCGATATGGCCGAGACAGATCCCAGCAAACGCTACGGAGTGTATAAAAAGAAATCAAAGGCCAACAACGGAGTAAGTTATTGTAGAGACTATGGTTTTTTTGCTCCCTTGCTCATTTCATCGTGTAATTCGGACCTCCGAGCTGGACGATTATAATAATCCGCTTCCTTTGAAAGGTGTGAGAAAACACTCTGCCTCGCAGTCGCCATTAAACAACTATTCTTCAGTATACTGTTAGTATGAAACACCATAGCTAAGATGGTGATGCTTCGATTGACCGCTGAGCAATACCGAAAATTGCCAATTCTTGTCGACGAAAAGACATGCATCGGCAAGACCTATATAATCACTGGCGGCAACTCTGGACTGGGACTTGAGACCGCGCGACATCTCGTCTCAGCATCAGCCGAACGGGTCGTGCTACCAGTGAGAAATCTCAAGGCTGGAGAAGCCGCGAAAAATGACATTGAGAAGACGACCGGGCGCAAGGGAGCTGTCCGGGTACGCATCTCTCAACACAACCAGCGATATCACTGGTACTAACCCCAATACATCTAGGTACGACACATAGACATGTCAACATACGCGTCTGTCCAGAGCTTCGTCAAGAAGATAACAGAAGAACTGGACAGAATTGACGGATTTGTATGCAACGCAGGGCTCATGATCGACGCGTGGTCAGTCTGAGGGCATGGAAACAGGCATGTTTGTCAATGTTGTCAACACGGTGTTCCTCGGCGCCCTGATGATGCCGAAACTCAAAGACTCTGCCATCAAGTTCAATATTAAGCCCACTCTCGTTTTCATCGTCAGTGTTCTTGGATATACTGCCAAAGGTGAGATGGACAAGAGCCGCAATGGTGTTATATTCGAAGGGCTCAACGATCAGAAGCGCGCCAACATGGACTCGAGATGAGATTCAAGCTTTCATTCCTTTTTGTAATATTGCCACTGACAAATAGTGCAAGGTATGCGCTCACCAAGCTTGTGGAGGAGTGCGCTGTACTCCAGTTTGCAGCACTCTGCCCAGTCGAGCGTACAGACGTTG